GCCGGACCGCGTTTGGATGCAACCGATGCCGGTGACTGGCCAGCAGCTGCTGCCACTGTTTGACGCGGCCAATCATGGCGCCGGCGCCCTTGAATGCAGTCATCCAAATGACAGCTCTGTTGCGGACTCGAAGGAAACTAAGGATACCTCTTCTGGCAGTACGTTTCGTGTTTGAATTATAAGTTGTCATCAGCCAGCTATACCCTACTCCGGGTAGTGCACCGTCCGATGTTCGAACCCGCGGTTGCAGATAGTCAATTGTTTTGGCATCTTTTGCATACGATTTGACAAAAAAACGTGACGACATCTTGCGGCTGTTCATATATATGCTTGTTTACGGTCCTTGTTTTTGATGTGGTAAAATGAATTGCAGATTTACAAAACACATTTTTTTAATCCACTCTTTTCTCGAAATTCATGCGATTTCTTACATTTGCATTCACATGATTTTCATGAACGCAAAACAAAACTGTCCGTTCTCGTAAAGGATATGGTTAAATCTTTTCTGGCCTGTATTAATAATTTATAGTACTATAAGCGTGAACATAGAGTTTTAGTTTGCAGCGTTAAATAGCGTAGGAAATTACTTGGATATGGAGAAACTTTTGTGCCTATTTTACTGCAATATACTGATCTTATTTGAACTCTTTTCTACTGAACAACATCTTGCTCTTCAAGTCAATTTTATGAACAAAACAAACGACCTCAAATGCGTGATAAACCACCCCCTCCAATTTTGCTCTCCACATTTTATGAGGTAGGCAATCTAGTGTATATTAGGGCATCGTTGATGGTAATTTGGCTGCGTGCGTTTTACCATTCCTTTATAGTCTAATGGGTCATTTGGATTATTTTTGATAAATACCACCTTCTCACAATACTTCTTTACAGGTGGTGTATCTACTGGGTATTTCTTTATGCAATAATCAGCAACACTTCGCCAGGCCTTCCCAATTCGCCTGGATTTGCAACAGGAAAATTGGCAGCTTGTTGCATGCTGGTCAAATCATTTATAAGATTAACAGTTTTGCTTGTGCTCCTTTAAAACGTGGCCTGTTCTCATTTACGGCAGGGTTATACAAATCACTGCATTAATTCCCATCTTGATTTCTTCCAACTTTTTGTTTCTTAAGAATCTAGAACGCCGTCTTTTGTAATCGATTCGACAACTCGCTTTTGGCCGGGAACTTCCGATTTGAAGGCCAGGTCATTCACCCTTCAGTTGACTTCTGATGGGAACCTCCAGCTCTTTGCAACTTCACCTAAGTAAGTCCGTTCTAAATGCCTAACCTGGACTAGTATGTTGCTATTCCCTTTTTAATGAAATACGTACTCTTTGAGATTGATAGAGAGAGAGATGCGGTTTATTTTTATAATATAAAAACAACCAAAATAGTCTTCCGGTAACTGGACCAGATGTGTGACGTGCGTCACCGATGGGAAGTGGACGCTGCGGCTAGTCTATCGTGAAATTCGGCTTTTAGAGTATTGCCGTCTCCTCTCTCCACCCCACCGGTGAGGACTGCGCAGTCGAACGAGTTCCGATATCCGTCAGCATAGAAAACCCTTCCGGGTCTACTTTTCACCGCTTTTCTCCATCCATCTAATTTGACTAACCTGATAGGAGTCGATGAGTTTTCCTTCTGGTTAAGGGGGCCCCGTGACCCAACGCATAATTACTCAAAATTATCCTATGTCTTTGACTTTTGATGCTGTCATAATTGGTTAAAGGTGCGATCGTTAAAAAAATAGTTTATTGGCCTGACTTT